AATAACTCAAGTAATTTATTTTATCAATATGCAATAGAAATGTATATTAAATTTAGGATTAATCATGATTAATTCACAGCCACTTTGGGATTAATCAGATTAAAAATATTAATCATTTGACAGTCCTAATATATAAATATAGTTTTATCTGAACCAGATATGATTAACACAGCCATCTGTTTGGCAACCCAAGCAAACATCGCTGAGATGAGAATCTACTAATCTGAAAGAAATATTGTGACGGAAATTATGTCATTTCTCTCTCTTTTTATAAAGATGTTTTCCACGTAATCTGAGCATTTTCAGTTCAAGGGTTTTGACCTTTAAATGACTACCATGCAAATATAATCTTGACCATGATGAAATCCACCCTGATCATGGACCGGTTTTATTTCTGGCAGCAAAGCCTCTCACTCTGAGTCAGGGCATGGTCTGTCTTCAGATATCTGACAGCCGCTGAAGTTACGTGATTCAGCTTTACTGCTCAACAAAGATCTGCTGAAGTGAGTTGTTTATGTTAGCAACAATCTGAATTAAACACTGATCATAAAAAAAAGATAATTTGGCAAATTATTTAAGAGAATTATTTGGTTTAAGTAAAGTCACACGAGGGGCATGAAATAAAATAAAACACAACAATCATCATTCTTTTGCTGTTTAAAATGTCCTGCTAATGGGTCTAAATGTGAAATTTGGATTCCAGTTAAATTTTCGGATCAACAAAGAAATTCAAATTAACAAAAAAAAGTTAAGATGTTGGTTATGGGACACTTTATAAACAACAGCTCAGCTGTAAGATCCAGATAAATGGAAGAGAAGAGTTATTTATCACTGAGGTGTTGTGGACCAGCTGTTGAACACTGACAGTTGGCTCCTGGCTGTGTCCTGCACACGGCGTCTGGAGAGGTTTCATGAGTTTAAAACCCCATTTAAACAACCGATGCTCCTCCACGTTATCTCCTCCTCAGTGCACGTGCTGCTGTGCAGAATGCAGCGGTTTTTTCTGAAAAATGATTCTGCAGCTTCTTTCCAACTTTCAAATACGTTGTTTGTTTGTAGCAATGAGGGCTTCATGTTAGAATTTACCTCAGCGTGATACATTTGTTTGTAGCTTTAAATGTCTTCACAGATCTGGTTAATTATATTCTTCAAAAGTGACAATTGATTTGTTTTAAAGCTAAATTAACCTTAAAATTCAGTGATTTTGTTTTCTTTTTGGCCACAGCTCACTTCCATAGTGCCTGGTCCACCCCTCCTCAAAATAAAAACGTCAATATATCGCCAACTCTCAGTTGTTGAAAATGTTAACCTATCAGTCAACACTTTAGTCTGGTTAGGGTTAGCCTATCAGGAACAAATTCTTCTGAATAAAACTAAGGATGACCCTCAGTTTAGACACTATTGAACTTTGCTGTGACAGACACTTCCCTCTGTGGCTGAATAAAGTTGAGATATGTGTTTTGTGGTTTGTGAGGGGGTTGAGGGTAGTCTGAGTCAGATCTTTACCTGAATCTCCAGCTCTGAGATCTGTTGCTGGAGCTCAGCCATAGCAGCGATGTTGTCAGCTTCCCTCAGCCTCACTGCCATCACCTCTTCTTTACTCTGCAGAAGACGACGACATTTAACCACATTCTTTGAAGTTAATTAGATCCTGCCACAGCTGAGCTGCAGCAGTTTGTCCCTGCCGAGGCTGTGCTACACAACAGTTTGTACCTTGCATTCAATCTCAGCTTGCCTCCGCTTGATCTCCTGCAGCTGCACAAGCAGATTTTTGTTTTGCACCGTCAGCGTGTCCACGCGCTCCTGGACACGGCGACTCTCCTGCTCTGCCCGCCGCAGGTGGTTACTGTGGATCTGATTCTGATGTGGCACATGAAGAAAAAACTAATCAATTTATTTTATTACGAAGGAGATTTTCAAACACCAGATTTTGGTGTAAACGCTGTGTCAGATATCAGCCTGAGCTGTATGAAACAAACAGCTGACTCCCTCTAAAGGCTTCTTCATGACATTACAAGAAGTGACTTCTCTGCACAGTCAATACAGCAAACTTTTAATTAGGGCCCATTCAGATGACAAAGATTTATTTGAATGGCAGCACCTATTATTATCCAACTCAAACAAAGGATCTCTATACTTTATTTATTTCGTTATATCTTTTTTTAGTCGTACTTAATGCTGCCTAAATGACAACATGCACTCCACACCTTTTATATCAAAATAACCGGCTCGGTCATAGGAGTTGTGTTATTACTTTTAGTGTTGTGTCAATGTATCATGGCCGGAGTCAGCACTGTTGTAGACCAACTTTGAAATTAACCAGTTCCGCTGAATCATTAACCGCTAATAGCAGAGCTAATTTTCATTTAGCGAATTAGCATTTTTTATTTTATTTTTTTACAACTTGTGCCAACTTATGTATTTTTATATATCTAAATTACTCATAAAACTTATATATTTGATCAATTTGTTAGCATTACAGTACATACACGCTTAAAAGAGGCTTCCAGTTGATTTCTTAAATTCCATCTTCAAAATGTCTGTAAAATTTTCACAAGCTGACATAAGTTGTCTAAAACATTGACAGGGCCTTTAACCGTTAGCGGACCAATTAGCTTCCACTAAAATGTAGTTCTGCTAATTTTAAACCTGTCAACTAAAACAAAACCAACTGCCCTGCATGCCTGTGTGTGTGTGTGTGTGTGTGTGTGTGTGTGTGTGTGTGTGTGTGTGTGTGNGTCCTGTTGAAACAGCCGATGAGTTAAACTGTAGTTGTTACTTCTCAGTTTGTTTTAGCAGCTCAGATTAAGACACCTTCAGTTTGTTTAGAGGTGTGTGTGTGTGTGTGTGTGTGTGTGTGTGTGTGTGTGTGTGTGTGTGTGTGTAGCCTTTTGCTGTTGAACTGCTTGTGGTTTTAATTGTTGTAGAAATGTTTTTAATGAGCTTTTACCAAAATTCTGTTGTTTCTGTTGATACCACACGTCTATGTTTGATGACAAACCTTGAGTTAACACTTATCTATTAGCGTTAGCTTCCACCAATATTTTTACATAATTTAGTGGTTCACCGTATACAAAGCTAATTTTTTTGGTTAGCAGACTGGAGTTACCAATAAAATCAATGTTATGATCTGAATGTGATCTGTTAGTGTTTGAAGTATGAGTTGAGGTCGACTCACAGCTACTACCACATCAGATTTGGGTTAATGTCTTTAAAACTTACTGAGTTACAGACATTTTTGCTTACCAAAAATGTTGATTGTGATCACACTAGACAACTTATGCCAACTTACGAACGATTTATGTTTAAATTGCCAATAAAAGTTGTATATTTGATCAATTTATTAGAATTACATTATGTACACACCAAAAAGAAGCTTCTTGTGGATTTTTTCAATTCCATCTTCAACACAGATGTCTTTAAAATGTTCATAAGTTGTCTAGTGTGACAGGACCTTTACTGAGAATCAGATCATGTTCTTTTTTTTCTGTTTTCTTTTCCGACTCCACGTCCATTACATAAAAACAATCCCAAAATAATCTTTAATAAAGTTTAAATATATATCAAGTGCAGCATCATGGTGAAAGCCATGATGCTGCACTTGTAAAAGTAAAACTGCTGGGCCTAATTTTGAGACTCTGACATTAATGATGAGTTTCATACTGCCGGACAGGACAAAAAAAGTAAACATTTCTTGTTCAATCACTTTGCATTCAGAGTGAGTGTTTGAGTTGAATCTTAGCTACAACTTTTTATCTGATTTGACTGTATTTTGACTGTAATTTTAACTATGTCCTGTTGTGTCTGTCTACTGTACAGCACTTTGGTTGGCCTTGTGCTGTTTAAAGTGCTTTATAAATAAAATGGTATGATGGTATGATACAACACTAAATTTTAGCTCAGTATCAGTAAAACTGTAGTTGTAGCCATTTAGCTGTGGCAGCCATCTTGAGCAGACCTGACTCCAAAAGGTAATTAGTTGCAGATGTACTAACTTCCCATAAAATCTATCCACTGGTTCGTGAGATTTTCTGCTCCCGCTACAAACACGGTCAAAAACATCAGCGCTCTCACCAGCAGGCACTGATGACGTGACCTCTGACCTGTGTCTCCAGCTCCAGCATCCTCTGCCGTGTTTCTCTCAGCTCTGCCTGGGCCTCAGCCTCACGCAGCCTCACGCTCATCAGCTCATCCTGCAGCTCGCCCAAGGTGTTCTTCTTTGGGGTGTCCTTCCAGCGACCAGCAGTGCGAGCCAGGTGGCGCTGCAGAGGCATTTTAACCATCAGTCCTTTTTACCACCACTTGAAAAACAATGCTGTTTTTAACGTAGGGTTTTGTCCTATCTGAACTGCTTGGCTGTGATGTGGCTCACCTGCCAGTGCTCCTCCAGATCTCTGACCTGCTGTCTGAGCTCCTTCAACCCAGTCAGAGCTTCAGCTTCTCTCAGCTTCACCCCAATCAGCTCTTCTTGCAACCGCGCCACATTAGTGTCATCGGGTAGTGATGAATTCCTCTAAAGAAGGTGCACAACATAAAAACAAGATAATAAAGTACCGCGATGTCACTCAATATGTGAGCAAAGGCCTGTCACGATAGTCAACAAATCAATTAATCGCATGATAAATTATTTTGAGGTCAATAAAAAAATGACGATAATTTTAATTTGCCTGTTTGTTTGTTTACTTTGTCTCTCCCTCTCTGTGCTCCGGTGCACAGAGGGCTCGACCGACCCCTCCCCCTCCTGTTTACGGAAGGAGTGAACTCTCGTGTTAGGCATTTCCAGGTGCGTGGTCTCGTACCTCTTTAGCATGAAAGTTTGTAGCAATAACAAGGCGCCTTTTGCACAGAGCTGGTTATCAGTAGAAACCGCAACATTTTTGTTGCGATCTAGCCGCTGGTTTACATGTCACTGGTGATCGGAGTCACTGACACCGGTACTGGAGTGGAACTTTTCAGTAACACCCCACATGGAGGTGAGAAGCACCCCGCAGCTGTGAAAGTGCAGATGCTCAAACAGCCGACACAGACTACTACAGAAAATTTCTTCTAAACTAGCAACAGTTACGATGAATTACAGACAGCAGAGTGTTTTTCTGTTACTCACCCTTTGTAGCTTTTAGGAGAAAACACCAAAATAATCCTAGGTCCAAAATAACTTTAGTATATTCCCCAGGTTCAGACGTAACTGTGATTATGAAGCTGCTTCATGAGCATGAGTGAGAACTGCATCAGGGTTGCCAAATAAAAAAAAATATTTAAAAAAAAACTTTTTTGCTGCTCTTTTTCGTGCATATTTTCACCAAATACAACACACAGCTTATCTTACAACACTCTCACTCAGCATACTGTATATGACTGAGTGAGTCATAAATATACAGCAAATCTGTTGTTTTGACTGAACATATAATAATTTTAAAAGGAACAGTAAAAACACTTTATTATGTCCCATTTGGCAACCCTGCCTGGTACATTACTGCAGCAGTTCCATGTAAACAAGTGATTTTTTTTGTATTCTTGGATTCAAACCCACTGACCGTGATGAACTACTTAACCTGTGTCAGCTGGTATGTTGAATTTGTTGTAAAAATAAAAAAGCAACTAAAAGTAGCAATACTACAAACTTGCATCTGCACTTAGAATATAATCATTCAGTGCAGTTTTCCCAGCTGGGAAGAAAAAAAACTAAAACTGAGGGGTCGTCTCAGTCTTCCCGACAGTCCACAATGAGCGGAGCGTTCAACCGATAAGTGATTTATAAAAAGTGGTGCGCACTCACAGACAGCGTAGTTCGCTTCATCTCTAGATGCTGCTCTTTAATATTGTTTATTTAATGTCTCAGTTACGCATGGTGTTTAATTTCCATTTTGTTGTTCTTCTTTTTTTTTATTCAAGTGCATTTTTTGTTAGAGACTGAGAGTCCATTTTGTTAAACATTCTTTAACAATGAAAGTTTATTGATCTTTGAGAGGATGTACTTACATTATTACGCTTTTTTCATTATATTAGTTTTAAAATGGTCACCAGGCAATATTATTGTTTAACGCAATAATTTATGACACTATTAATCGTCCAGCAAAATTTATTATTGTGACAGGCCAACGTGTGTACTGAATAAGAGTTAAACAGTACAGCACCGGTAAACGTAACACCTTACCTTCTCCATATCAAGGATCTTATCTTGCATTTCCTTGAGCGCACACTGGGACTCTGCCTCCTTCAGTCGGGCCTGTACGAGCTCTCGCTCCAGCTGTAGGACGGACTCCTCAGAAAACCGAGGGGGTCCCTTCTGCAATCAGAACAAAGGACAGTCAGCAGACGCAGCAAAGCGTGGCTGTTACGTCAGTATCAGTCCAAAAAGTCCAAACTTTGCTTATCTAAGCAGTCAAAATAAACCCAGTCTTTTAAACAGTATGAATAATTCCATATAAAGACCACTCACTGCCTCTTCATACCCACCATTTTACCTTTCACTACCTCCTAAATAATGCAAACACGCTCATTGTTCAACAAGACAGCAAATTATGTAAAACACTGCCATGCCTGTGCATCATCATCTGCAATCCAACCATGAATAATTAAGGCTGTTAACAGATATGCAGAGAAGAGGGGGCCATGTGTGAAATCCACCCCTAGCCGAGGAGACACACCTGCTTACAAATTCATGAGTACATTTCTGAGATTACAGGATGTAAATGTGCGAGTGCTGCGTGTTACTCTGTGTCCCAATCTGAATCCATGCATGCCAAAACAGATCATCACCAAAATCAAATCAGAGTGAGAAAAGAAAAGTCCTGACTGCTGGCAGCTTAAATTGTGTCGCTGGCAATCATCTCTGTTGAGGATGGAGGAAACTTACTCTGATGCATCGTAACTGGAAAGACTAGTTTGTGATACTGTTGGCAGACAATATGTGACTGTATGATGGAAGATCTGAAAATAGCAACAGTATTTAGAATATTGTCAATAAAACTGCTGTGTAACCCATGGATTGCCAAAATGAAGTAAAAGAAATTCTGTTGACAGAACTCTTTAATATGCAAAACAACGCTACAAGAACATGCTTCTAGATTTTTACTAACTCAAACTTTCATTGAAGTATAGCAGCCGTCAAAGGACAGGGAAGGAGCATGAACAAAATCCAAAAAACTTCAACATTAAAAAGATATTTTACGATAAAAAATAAGTGAAGCAGAGTCAGAGAGTCACATCACGGAGGAAAGAACAAACATCTGATTGGTGCATTGGTTGACTTAAAGTGTTATTGTTTTATTATTGAACCCTAAATGAGTGTAGCAATCCAAGTAGTCTTTAACGGTCTTGATTCTCATGACAAGGATGTAAAAGCAATAATTGGTGAATCTCAAACTCTTATTTTATTCACACTGGAACAAAGTCAACATAAAAATAATTAAACTAAAGGTTCAATGTTGGAAAATAAAAGGTCACTATGGATTTAATGGCAGCAGCGCAGCTACATATAGCTGAAACAGCGATGTTTATTCTGTGAAACATCCTGTGAACTGAGACCATCAGATGCTGAGTTTTCAGCAGGGAAATGTCTCATTCTTGTATGAAGTAGGATTCTAGCAGTTTACCAGTCCTGGGTCGTCTTTGTCATGTTTTTCATTTCATGGTGTGTCAAATGTTTCCAGCTGGTGAGAGGTCTGGACTGCAGGCAGACCAGCTCAGCACCAGGACCTTTCTAAAGTGAAACCATGCTGTTATGGATGCAGTATGTGGTTTAGCATTGTCTTGCTGAAATAAGCAAGGTCTTCCCTGAAAAGCACATCGTCTGGATGGAAACGTGTTCTAAAATCTAAGGCTGTGCAAATTCAGGGGCTATGTCCTTCGAAGGCTGAATCTGTCGGCCACTTATGTCACAGCATTGCGCCTAAGGTAGTCCAAATCGAAAGACTCCTCTGATGCGGCCCACAAATGAGACCTCCTTTTTCACTGACTTGAGGGACGATGGATCCTTCTCAACTCACCCTTTGCCAGTGGTGTCTAAAGTCAGTCCTCAAGGGCCGGTGTCCTGCGTGTTCTAGGTGCTGTCCTTGTTCAACACAGCTGAAACTAAGGAGTGCCTAATTAGCAGGCCTCTGCAGACCTTAATGGCAAACTGAGGAGGCCTATTAATTAAGTACTCCTTAGGTTCAGCTGTGTTGAACCAGGACAGCACCTAGAACACGCAGGACACCGGCCCTTGAGGACTGACTTTGGACACCCCTGCCCTATGCGGCCGACTGGAGATTGTTTTTTTTAGCTTGTAATGGGGAACAAAATGAGAGAAAGGAAAAAAGTTTTAAATAAAAATCTGGTGGTTATAAAAATTGAAAGTTTAAAGCGGTTGTGTTGTTAATGTTTATTCATTTGCATTGACATGTTTTTTAATATTATTCTTGTCAGAAATAAAACAAGCTGGTATGGTGAAATGAATGAGCACGAAAGACGGGTCTGTTAGTTCTTCAACTACTTCCTTTAAGCTAATTTTGCTATATTCTAATATTGATAAAACTAATATAGAGATATTTTGCTGATTTCAATCTACTTTTGCTTCTGTTTAGCTTCACCATGGTGGCTAGACGATAGCACATGCCAGGGTAAGGGTGGGAATAAAGCTGAAGGCTATTGTTACGTCCACCAGGCTCGTTTGGTGGGGTAACATGAAAGGAGACCACACAAGGATTAATTTACTTCACAAAAATAATAGTTTATTAAATTATACTAAAGAAATAAACCTCAGAGGGAATACCTGAAATGAGAAAAACCAAACTGAGATTAATCCAAAACTCATAAATATTTAGAGTAAGTAAACCCAAGCTAAACCAAACCCAACCAAACAAAAAGATACAAACCAAACCAAGTGAGGATCAGGAGGAGAGAGAGAGACAAGCTGCATGTGGGCGGCTTTTAAGC